GTCACTATGAGTCGTACTCAACTTGACAGCACCTAACACCACCAATAACCACGAATCAGTGTTTCAGGGAGCTCTGGAGGCTAAGTGATAAAAAATTGTACTGCCAACCCAAAGGCATGCAGTTCAAATCCACCAGGGGCTCCGCAGAAGAAAGATGAACAGTCTCTCCCTGCATGACTTACTTACTGCCTTAAAATCCACAGAGGGTCAGCTATGAGTTCATACTAACTTGAGCTTGTACATAACAGCAATAACTACCAATGTTTCACTCTGTCTCTCTCTTCACTTTGTCTGAGTTGAGATCCATCTCACACTGTTAGTCTTTTTCACTTACTGGTTAACAGGGATCCAAGATCGATCCAAGCTGAAGGACTGAGGCTGTCGGGAGAGCACAGAGGCTTCGTGTGTTATCGTCAAACTGTCTACTGTAGTGAGTGGACCAGACACTGTGCTGAATGCTAGCCAGATACTCCTCATAGTCGAATGAGATAGAAGAATCAAATGCCCCATTTTACAGGTAAGTGAATTAAGGCTCAAAGAGGTTTAAGTGATTATTTTGCCAACCAAGGCAAGTCTGGTTTAAAGGATTGGTGGAAGATCTATTAACAATCTGCATTATGCAGATGACACAACCCTGCTTGCTGAAACTGAGGAGGACCTCATGCACTTGCTGCGGAGGGTCAAGGACTGCAGCCTTCAGTATGGACTGAGGCTCAATGCCAAGAAGACAAAGATTCTCACCACTGGGCCAATTGGCAGCATCAGGATGGATGGCAAAGAGATTGAGATTGTTCACAGCTTCAGTTTGCTCGGCTCCACAGTCAACACTCTTGGCACCAGCAGTCAGGAAATCAAAAAGCGTATCGCGATGGGAAAGTCTGCTGTTAGGGACCTCTCTAAAGTACTCAGGAGCAATGGTGTCTCTCTGGAGACTAAGGTGCGCCTGACACAGGCCATGGTCTTTGCAATCACTTGTTATGCATCAGAGAGTTAGTTGGACAATGAATAGGGAGGACAGAAGGAGAGTTGATGCCTTTGAGCTGTGGTGCTGGAGAAGAGTACTGAATGTACCATGGACTGCCAGGAAAACAAACAGATTCATCTTGGAGAGGATTAAACCAAGCTACTCCTTGGAGGCAAGGGTTCTGGGGCTTCGTCTGACATACTTTGGACATGTTGCCAGGAGGGACGGGTCCTTGGAGAGGGACATCATGCTTGGGAGGGTGGAGGGACGGCGCAGGAGGGGAAGACCCTCTATGAGATGGATTGATTCGGTGACTGGGGTAATCGGCATGGGTGTGTCAGAGGCAGTGCGGTTGGCGCAGGATAGAGCAGTGTTTAGGGCTGTTGTGCATAGGGTCGCTATGAGTCGGAAACGACTCGACGGCACATAACAACAACAAACAACATATCATATTGACCCCAAGTGTGGTCTTGTACCATCAGAGCTGAGCGCAATACATGGCAAGAACCCAGGAAATAGTTTTTCACAAATGAGTCACATTGATGAACTGATAGAATTTAGTAGAAGTCCACAGAAGTTGGTTGAAGTAAGCTCAGTGCCTAAATTATGGGCTAAGGTCCGGTTAGGCCGGGCGAGAGGCCATCACCAAACAGGTTCTGGGGATTAGCCTGGGAGTAACCTGCTTCAGAAAAGCTCTGTGTTATATTTTATAATTAACTCATTATGCAACTTTGGGCTAGTCCTTTATCCTAAGGCCTCAGTTTCTCATCCTATAAACTGGGAATTCGGTCTAGATTGGGGTCAGCAAACATTTTCTCCAAGAGGCTACACAATAAATATCCTAGACTTTGCAGTAAATATTTTAGATCTTTGTCACAACTACTATTATGTTACAGTGACAAAACAACCATAAACATTGATGCATGAGTGTGACTGTGTTTGAACAAAGCTTCATTTACAAAACCTGGTGGGTCCCTGGATTTGGCCCACAGGTTCTAGTTTGTTAATCCCTGATCTAAGTGACCGTTTTGATTGTAACAGTCTATGATTTTCAGATTTAGAACCAATTTTGCCAAGGGCAGAAATGACCATACCATAACCCAATGATCATTATAGTGACCATGACAGACATTGCTAATCAATCACAGGCCTCTTTAGTGATGTTGTTGTGTGTGCTGTCGAGTCAGAACCAACTCACAGTTGACGTTTTCAGAGGCAGTAAATCCCATGGGAGGAGATTGTCCATCTTTCTCCCGCAGAGCAGCTGGTGGATTAAAACTGTGTGCCTTGGGCTTGACAGTACAATTTCTTATCATTAGGCTACCATTGCTGCCTTTACTGTTGTTGTTGTGGTTGTTGTTATGTGCCTTTGAGTTGGAACCAACCCATAGCTGGCCCTTCAAGGAGTTTTCAGAGGCAGTAAATTGCCCAAGAGGAGACTGCCCATCTTTCTCCCACAGAGTAGCTGGTGGATTTTACTCCTTTGAGATTGTAGGCCAGCTTCTTTACTGCTGAATTTATTTGTAAATTAATCAGATAGAAATTCCAAGCTTTAGTATATTCCGGTTTACTCTTTATGTTACAAACATGGAGAAAACTCTAGATGAGTGTGGCATTGAAGAAGGTAAGGAAAAGCAGAGCCAAAGTTTGTGAAAGGTCTTGTGTGAAAAACAATGCATTAGAACTTGGCCAAAAAAATAAATCTGTATTTTTAAAAAAGTATGGGAGAGTCTTTAATTTTTATTCCTACGTGAAAAAAAAAATCAGGTTGCTGCTTACCACGCCCTCCAGGATGAGAATTAAAAGCCTGAGCCCACGCCAGTGACGTTATCCACTGATGGAAGTCAGACCCTCCATCTCCTTCCTGCCTCACTGGGCTTTCCAGCCCATAGTGAAAGTGTCTGATTCACAGCAGTTGCCCAGTGGGTACCGAGGCTCTTCCTTTTCTTTCTCCACCTAATTTAAAGCACTGAGTAACTTCCGCACAGAGCGTCTGCTGCTAGTCGGCAGTCCAGTTTGTGAATCATTTCCAAGTCAGTCCATGTATGACCATCACTGGTGGATCTACATCCTCCTTGATGTGTACAGAATTTACACACACTTTGGAGAATGAATGGAGGATATCCCAAAAACCAAAAGGCCACATGACTTTGCAAGAACTTGGGCTTTGCAGTCAGGCAGGTTTGGGTTGAATCATGACTCTTTTAAATGACAGTAATCTCTGGAGACTTCATAGCATGTGTTGTCAAGTTATTACTCTGTCAGATGGATATTGACCCAATGAGACCCCTTGTACCACAGACGGGGAGCTACTCCAGAAGGCTTTCTCAACTGTGGTCTTTGCAGTAGATCATCAAGCCTTCTCTTCCTCAGCAATACTGCGTGAATTCAAAGCACAAGCCTTTAGGGTAATAGCCAAGCACAAACTCTTTGTCCACATGGAGATCTTGTGTGACAGAGTGAGTTTTGAAGAATGGCAGCCACACCTTTTATCTTGGAGAAACCAGAGTGCTCCTTAGTGTCACGAATTGCAAAACTTTATGTCACATATTTTTGGCATGTTTGCAGGAGGGGCGAGTCCTTGGAGAAAGACATCATGCCGGGAAAGGTGGAGGGTCGGAGCACGAAAGGAAGACCCTCAACAAGACGGTTTGACACAGCTACTCCAATAATGGGCTCGCGCATAGCAGAGTTGTGGAGGATGGCACAGGACAGGGCAAGGTCTTGCTGTTCAGAGGGTCGCCATGCGTCGTAGTGGACTTGACGGCACTTAACAACAAACAATGTAGCATTTGTTACCACACGAGGAGTTTGGGGGTAAGACGCAGGCCTGTAGTATTGCACTCATAACACAGCTAAATGTTGGTTACAGTGACAGCTCAGCTGCTCTGTCCCTTTGTCCCGGATTCCTTTCCATTCATTTCAGTGGTGATGGACGTGATCCGTTTACTCTTTCCAGGGTCCTTTGTGTCCCTTCTCTCGAGAGCAGCTGACATGGTATCATTCCATTTCACAGGTGATAAAACTGAGTTCCAGGGAGATCTGCTGAGGGCAGAGCTCTCGTCTTTCCTTCAACAACCCATGAGGAGGCATGGAATTGTTGTTAGGTGCTGTTAATTCAGCTTTGGCTCACAGTGGCTCGATGTAAAACAGAACAGAACTGCCAGTCTCATAATCGCAGGTGGGCTGAAACGCACTGCAGCAGCCTCTGCCTCAATCCGCCTCCCTGAGGGCCTTCTCTTGTCCACGGACCCTCTGCAAAGTGTGATGTCTTTAGGGACTTGTTCCTCTTGGTAACATGCTCAAAATATGTGAGATGAATATTTGCTTTTCAGGAGCATTCTAGCTGCACTTCTAAAATAGTTTTACCTGTTCCATTGACAGTCGACAAAGTACTCAACATTCTTCACATTCACCATAATTCAAAGGTACCAATTTTTGGATCTTTATTCACTGTCAGACGTCTGCATGCTCAGGAAGGGACTGGAAAACGTGTGGCTCACTGGCCTATAACGGTGTTACTATTTGGGGAAGTTATCTGTTGGCTAACTGATAAGACACCTGATCTTTTGAGAAGGAACTTGTTCTGAGCAATCCAGCTGAGAGTTTCACAATCCCTGAGAGTCCGGGAAAGCGAGATAGTGGCACGTTGCACAAGGCCTCAGCTTCACGTCTCTGATTTCAATTCCTAGTATAACTGACCTGTTCTTTTCCTTTCCTCCCATGAGGCTGTTGGCCCCAGCCTCCCACAATGTTCAGGGCTCGATGGACACCTGAATGGGCCACTGTATGGACCTGGCAACACATTCCTGCCAACCTCTTTTCTTTCCTCCCTCGATCTGCTGGCCTCATAGTCTTGCTTTGGGACAGGAAAGAGACATCATCTCTCTTGTGTCAGGCTTTTGGTCTCTGGCTGAACTTCCTGCCTCGGCAACAGCAGCTGGGAGGAGCCCTGGAAAGTCCAGTCACACCCACTATTGAAGGAATAAAGAGCAGAGGTTTGGCGTTGGCCACTAGAGCCGCCTTTGATCTCACCATGGCGCCCAGTGGCCTCTTCCCCCTTGTCACCCTTCTTGCCCTGGGAACTCTGGCAGTTTGGACTGTGGAAGGTGCCGAGCAGAGTGAGTTGGAGTCACCTTCGTCCAGTCTAGACCACAGAGTCAGGGATGGGGTCTCCTGGTGGTTTGGGCATGGCCCTTCCTGTAGGCTCTGACCTCAGCATTGAGTCCACCATCTCCGTGAGGGTGGAATTCATGTCCACCTGGGCACCGAGGTCTTTGTGAAGGCATCTGAGCAGCTAGAAGGGGCTCTTTCACTGGACCATCTCATTAGCCCAGGTCCCGGTCCCACGTCTCTTCTGTGTGCTTTTTATTTCCCTCACTCCTTTCCTCCCTGCATCCCCCTCCCTGCCCCTCCCTCCTCTTCCTCTGCCCCTTCCCTTCCTCTCTCTCCTTTCTCTCTCTGCTCCATGCCTTTCCTCTCTTACTACATCCATGACTGTCTGACTCCAGCCTTTGACTCCTTCTGACTCTCCTTTGTTTCCTCCACTCTAATTCTTCAGTTTCTGCCTTCAACTCTCCCCCTCCTTCTTTCCCTGCCCCTCAGTCTCGGTCCTGTCTGTCTCCATTGCTTCCAGGCTTCCTCTGCTCTTGCGTAGCCTCCCATTTCCCTGGGGCAGGAGTCCTTGACTTGGGGCTACCTGAGCCAGTTTTCCTGACTGTGGTTTATGCACCTGTCACTGTTCACGGAAGCCAGACAGGTGGCAGTTCCCTTTGGACTTTGTGGATGGCCAGATGGCCCAGACGGAAGGCAGCCAGACGTCTCCCAGTTCGGTCCTGATCTCTTGATCTCTTTGGCAGTGCCGTTGAAAGCTGGACTCTGCCCTCGCAATAAACCTGCCCAGTGCTTCAGACAAGAGACACCAGAGTGCACGACTGACTGGCAGTGTGAGGGGAAGAAGAGGTGTTGTCATGACACCTGTGGCATCAAATGCCTGGACCCTGTTTCCACCAGAACATCAGGTGAGGGGGCGGCGAAAGGCTGGACAGGATCCAGAGGACATTGGATGTGGGGGAGCGATGGAAGTTCTGCCAGGTCCCTCCTTTCTCAAGATTTTTGAGCCAAATGTGTCAGCTAGTTAGGGAGTCACGTTGCCTGGCTGGAGATTTGGCATTTAGCCTGGTGAGCCGAGCAAACCTGTGGAAGGTCAGCCTACCAGCATGCATCCAACCATTCAGAAGGGCAGGCTGTTGGCAGGCACGCTTTTCTTTGGTAGTGAACTTCTGGTCCCCTGCACAGACAGAAGTTAGGGACTGATGTCCCTGAGGAATTAGATTCTCCCATCAGGGGAAGCACAGATCTTAGGAAGCAGGTGGTGGTGATGTGTGTGTGTGTGTGTGTGTGTGTGTGTCACCCTCCCTGCTCAGTTGAGGCTGGGATGTAGCTGGGGGTGGTATCTATGGTATTAGGTCTCTGATTTCAGCCTTCCTCTCTTCAGATAAAGAGAAAGTTGGGAAGTGCCCCAAGGCGAATGGTCAATGCATGATGCTCAATATCCCCAATTACTGCGAGAGGGACTGGCAGTGTGAGGGCAACTTCAAGTGCTGCCACGGCATGTGTGGGAAGGTCTGTGTGGCCCCGGTGAAAGGTAAGATGGGGACAGGGGTGGGTGGATCGCCCTCTTCCAGTCCTCTCAGCCTCGCCCTCTGGAGGTCCAGGCAGGCGGACAGGGGAGCCTGAGCCATACTGTCCGCAGAACCTCTGCCCTACCCTCCACCTCCTACAGTCCTTCAACTGCCCTGGTCCCCAGGCCTCGGGCAAAGGATTTCCACAGCATTGGCTGTAACTTTGATGTTCTAGTCCACGCTTTTTTTCTCCTTTGTTTTTTTTTTTACATTGATTTTAATGAAAGTTTACAGAGACTTTGGATTTCCATCCATTCATTGTTGCACTTTTCTCCCTTCCTCCCCAATTCACGCTTCTCTTTGAAAAGTAAAAGAAAAATGCTTCCGTTGTTATAAAATCCCTCCCCTCAAGTCCGCTCCACTATGCAGCCTTCATTCTGGACTCCTGTCATGACAATAATACCTAATCATAGATCCCTTTTAAACAGTTCTCTCCCTCATCTGTTTCAATGCAGTATACTTAATTTATCCACATGTCAGTCTCGTTTTACAACAGTGGCCCTATGCAATATTTGTCCTTTTGTGACTGAGATTTTTCACTCAGCATAATGTCCTTCAGGGTCACCCATTTTGTGTAATATTTCATGAGTTCCTTGTTTTTCAGTGCAGCGTAGTATTCCATTGTATGAATATACCAGAGTTTCTCTATCCATTTGTTTCATGATGGGCACTTGGGTTGTTTCCAGCTCTTTGGTATTGTGAACAAAGCTGCAATAAACATGGGTGTGCATATTGTCCACGCTTTTGATTGAGAGCCATGGGTAAACTACTATGAGACTTAGTCTGCTTATTTGTAAAATAGATTTGCTTTGTAAAGGCCATTGTAAGGGTCAACGCCTTTAAAGGACCAGTGGAGTTTGAGAATCATTTCATTCAATGCTCTGATGCTACAGTTGACCCAGAGGCACTAGTCAGGGATACCAGGGTTTGACTGTACAACACAAAGGTGCACACTAGCATGAACTATGGCCTTGCATTTCTAATAATTTTTGGCATTTGCTCACCAGTTGAAACAAATGCACCACAGGAATAAAAGCTGTTAATAAAAAGAGAAAATGTGTGCAGGAAGAAAGAGGAACTATGGAACTTCTACACTTTCTGCACAGTCCTGAGTGCTGTAAATTGTGCTCTTGTACTAGCCTAACGGTTGGTGGTTCAAATCCAACCAGCAGTGCTGCAAAAGAAAGACTTGGTGATCTGCCTCTATAATGATTGTTGTTGTTGCTGTTAAGTGCGGTCAAGTCACAGGCAACTCACAGCGACCCTATGAAGGAGAGTCCTCGACGCTTGGCTGTCTCTCATCCTCTGAGCTCCAGGTTCATAGGGTTTCCAGAGGCAAGCTATTACGGAAGTGGATGCCACTTCTCCTTCCAACTATAATGATTAGAAGCAAGAAAACTCGAGGGAACAGTTCTGCTCAGAATTAGACCGCCTTTCAGTTCCCTCCAGACCTTTTGAAAATTAAAATATCAAAATCAACTTAACGGTAGTGGGCTGTTGTGTTGGAACTTTCTGTATTATTATCCTGTAAATTTAAAATTGCTCTTTAAAAAGAGTCTACTTAAAAAGAAACAAAAAACCCCCTACCCCATTCTTGTCGTAAAACTGCAGTAAGATTCAGACATGGGATTTGAACTCAATCTCCTGATACCAAGACTCTCTCATCTATTCCAGGTTGTTGTTTTCTCTATCTTGTCCCTTTGGGGCCAAGAACGTGGAGGTAGTCTGTCATTATACTGAAACTCTGACTTTTTCTCCCTGCCCCCCCCCTTTTTTTTTTGGCAGAACAAGTGAAAAAAGTCCATTAAGACGATAAGACAGTCATAACTAGTGAAAGGTAGGCCATGGAAAAGAGTTAAAGGGAAAAAGAAAGAAAAGGCAAAAGGGGGAAAGGATCCCCTGATTGGATTTTCTCTTCCAGAGTGAGCCCTGCTGTGGGATCCGGAACTCCTGTCTTCCTTCTGCTTGGTCGCTTGGATATTCCACGGTGAAGATTTGGTTCTGCTATCAACGCCTCCTCTGGAGAACTGCCAGGAAATGCCTGCTGACTGGTGAATGAATAAATGAGCAAATTTGTTCCTTCACCTCCTGCGTCTATGGTTCACTGGGGGCAGGAGTGGCCTGGGAGGTGAAAGACGGTGTCTGGGAGGAACTCTCCCTCCTCCAGACATGGAGGGCGAGGAAGAGGCTGAGACACTGGATAGATAAAAATTTCCATCATGGGGGAGCTCTGGTGGCCTAGTGGCAAGGAGCTACAATTACAATCCCAGAGGCGAATGGTTCGAATCCACCAGATGCTCTGCCAAGGAAGGAGGGACAATCTCCTCCTGTACCAGTCAGATCTGATTTGACGGTACACTCACACAAAAATAATAAAATAAAATAAAATAAAAATTTCCATCATGGATTTGAAGGTACTGGCTTTCTGATTTGGGCCAGGTAATTTTATCTATCTGGATCTCATCAGTTATCTTATTTGCAAGTAAAAGCTACTTTCTCACCTTGTTCTGAGCATTAGAGTACGTACGCATCATATATGAACAGAGCAGCGATATTATTGAGTCACAGCAGATTCTCCAAGAAAGGGAGAATGGCAGATACTTTTTGGCTTCAGAGGTGATTTTGAGTTTCCTTTACCAAGACATCAGTCTCTTCCATTTTCAAACGAGAATACTGCTGTGGTGACCATCATAGACACAACAATTGTTTCCTATTTACCTGGAGTAACAAAGGAATAGAAGGAGGAAAAGGAATGAGGCTAATTGCTTCCATCAACAGCTGCTTTTTTTTTGGTCATGGAACCAGAGGCACTGGATGCTTCCTGACCATCACTACTGACATTTGGACTGAAGATTCTATAGAAGAATCTTGATCAAAAGGGGTAAAGTGCAGAGTAAAATTTAAAATTTCCACGGTGTCCAAACTTTCTGGGGCCATGGAGGCTGGATGAATTCCCAAAACAATGACCCTGAGATAATCTTTAAATCTTAAACCATAAATATCCTGTGAAATATTTTTTAAATTTTATTTTATTAATTTTAATGAACATCTACAGAGATTTTAGATTTTCATTCATTCATTGTTGCACTTTTCTCCCTGCCCAGCCCTCCCCTCCCCATCCCAGTTCACGCCTCTCTTTGAAAAGTTAAAGAAAAATTCTTTCTTTGGTATACAATCCCCCCACACCCTTCCCACCGCCCTGAGTACACTCCACTATGCAACCTTAATTCTGGACTCTTGTGATAACCATAATACCCTATCATATATCACTTTTAAATTATTCTTTCCCTCATCTGTTTCAATGCAGTATACATAATTTATGCAGTTTTTCTCAGTCTTACCCCAACCCTGATGTCAGTCCCATTCTACAACAGTGGCACCATGCAGTATTTGTCCTTTTGTGACTGAGATACTTCACTCAGCATAATGTCCCCCAGGGTCACCCATTTTGAATAATATTGCATGAGTTCCTTGTTTTTCAATGCAGCTAGTATTCCATTGTGTGAATATACCAGAGCTTCTCTATCCATTCATTTGTTGGTGGGCACTTGGGTAGTTTCCAACTCCTTGCTATTATGAACAAAGCCGCAATAAACATGGGTGTGCATCTGTAAAATCTTTTTAAGACCAGACAGTAGTTCAGCTTAGTTAGTACAGAATATTTGTCTTGAGCATTCTGCTCTTTTAAGCTCTAACAGTTAGAAGGAATTAAGGGGGCTCTGGCAACTTGGTGGTAAGAAGCCATGCTGCCAAACCAAAGGCATGTAACAGCAACTGACAACAACAACACAAGCAAGTAGAAGTTGGACAATGAATAAAGAAGAATTTAAAAAAATACATCTCTGCCTTTGGATTGTGGTGTTGGTGAAGAAGGTCAGCTGGGACTTTGAGCAGAATGAAAAAGAAATCTTTGATGGAAGAAGCCCAGCTAAGAATATGAGGGTGGTAAGAATTGATCTCACACCCTTTGGACATGTTAACAGCAGGAACCAGTCTCTGGAGAAGGACATCACGTGTGGTAGAGTAGAGGGTCATCATAACAGAGGAAAATCCTCAAAGAGGTAGATCGAGACGGTGACTGTCCTGATGGGCTCCTACAGGACAACACTGTGAGGATGTGAGCAGGCCTGGGAGACACTTCATCCTGTTAGACTCTGAGAATCAGCATTGACTGGATGGCACTTAACAATAGCATGTTGTCGTTATATATTGTCAAGTTGGAACCAACTCAGAACTGGCCCTCCAGCAGGCTTTCCGAGACTGTAAATGGTCGGGAAGAAACTGCCCATCCTTCTCCCATGGAGCTGCTGGCGGATTTGAACCTAATACCTTTGGGCTGACATCATAACTCCTGGCCGCAAAGCCCCTAACTCCAAACAGAAAAGTGTAGAATCTTTTTAGAGGATTCCAATGTGTCATCTAGTTGTCATAAATTGCTAGTGAGTATGACATTTAAAGAATCATTCTGAGAAATTCTCACTCCCTGCTGTTGAGTTGATTCCAGTTCATACGGACCCTTCCCTGGAGTCCTGAGGTGGTAAATCGCAGCGGAAGGAGACGGCCTGTCCTCCTCCTGGGAAGGGGCTGGCGGATTGAGCTGCTAGAGACAGTGCAGCCCTCAGGTTAGCAGCACAACTGTGAGTTTGACATCTTATTTCTAGTAAGTGGGCTAGTAACTGGGTGACAGGCATACCTGGATGGTGTGAATGGTTGAAGCGCTCACCTACTCACTAAAAGATGAATGACTTGGGTCCACTCTGTGACTTCTAGGAGGAAAAGGTCTGCCCACCTCCTTCTGAAAGGTCACAGCCACGGGAAACTCTTTAGAGCACGGGTCTGCTCAGCCACACATCTGGACACTGAGAGTGGAAATCAATCTGATGGCAACCCGTGTCTGTGTGTATGTTTATAGCATTTTTAGGTTGTTCCCTTTGATTTTAAATTAGATCACAAGTTGCATTTAGCTCTCCCACTTCCCATTCCTTCTCTCCAAGATGATAATGCTGGATGTTGGACTTTCTCTGGAATTTTCTTTTCTCTTTTGGAAACACTCATAGGAAGGTTCTTTTTGTTCCTGGGGAGGTGACCCGAGGGGAGTGTGGCAATTACCATTCAGCATCACGTCCTTGGCACTCGCTGGGGCTGGGAGCTGGCACTACCCGCCCACACGTCCTGCTCCCAGTTCTGTGCAGAGGGCTCTCTGCCAGGGAAACTGGCAGTGCCTGGAAAACCAGAAATGCTGCCCTGATTTGAGAAGGTCAAGCCTGAAAGTAGAGCGTCCTAGGGAATTGCAGGAGATTCTGCTTGAATTTGGCGTACAGAACAGTCTCTTTTACTGAAGGCTTTGTGAATCTCAGGTTGTCCCTCGGTCACAAGACACAGTAAACTAACTACCTTATAGCTTATTTGAGGCTGTAATAGTCACATTACCAGGAAACAATCAGCAGGTCGTTCTCCAATTGGTTGCTTCCAACTACCAACCTTTTGCTTGGTGACTGAGTGATTAACCATTTGAGTTTCTGGCTTTCCTTTTCGATTTTGTCCATGTTTGTGTGAACTTATAGATATTTAATGCTGAACTATTTCTATTAACATACATTTGAGACAAAGAGGCTGGAAATCGGTTATCTAAGCATCAGTTTTAAAGCTTTAGAAAAAGCAACATAGTCACTTACACTTTCCTATCCAAAAGCAATTATGCGAACAGGTTAGTTTGGGTCCTTTGAATGGCAGATGAAAAGGCTGAAGGAGACAGTGAGGAGTCTTTTAGGGCAAATGTCTGTGAGAGACAGGGGTCCATGGAATGAGAATGCAGATCTGATCCCTTGAAAGAGAAAAAGAAGAAAAGGGGTCTGGATAGAAGGTTTCACAGACTCCATTAAATATGGAGAGTTTTTGCCAGATTGTCATAGAGCCTGTTGCCAAAATCACCTTTCAGAGGAGACCCTGGTTCCTCAGGAATGGGTCTGGCATCTTGCCTGTTCTGAACTCTGTTCCTTTCTGGTGCAGACTCCCTTCTTTTCCCCCATCCAGATTCCCTTTCTTCTTTCACTCCTTCAAGGGACCAGATCTGCATTGTCATTCATGGCTCCCTGTCTCTCACAGTCATTTACCTGAGGAGTCTCTTATCTATCTCCTTCCGTCTTTTCATCTATCCATGCATTCATGGAGATACATGGAGACCGCAGTTGGAGACATCCATGAGTGGCTCGTTTCCAAGCAGGGATCCGAGTGATGTGTTTCCATTGTCACTCCTCCCTCAGCCACACTGCTTTTCATCAGTACTTACATTTTTAAAGGATGCTGAGGGGAACTGGCAAGTCCTCTTCTAGTCTATTCAGTCCTTCATCCACGGTATGTGCTCTGTGGTGGGATGGGACACAAAACTCCTCACACGAGGTTCTCACCGCCATCCATCTGCCTCCTTTTCCTACTCTCATCCTCTTCAGTTTCAACTCTCTAGTTGGAAAAGTTTTTAACTAGATGGATAGGACACTGAACACTGCCCAGGCATCTGTGTTCTCTTTCCTCATCACTTCTCCTTTTGTACAAAAGAGCTGATCACATGTAGCATCCGCTTATACGTCCACTTGAATTCTTTTCTTCTCAGTTGATTTTCTTCTTTATTGAGATTTTAATGAAAGTTTATAGAGGACATGGATTTCTGTTGCAGACCGAGGGTAAAGTATATTAATAAGTATTAATAATGAGACATAACACCAAGAATATAAAACAGGTAAAGCAGGAGGCGAACAGTTCTCAAACAACTGAAGCAAACTGAAGGGACCAACCTTAGCTTCCCCATGTCTTTATAGAAAATTGCCAGGGAGCAAATCACCAAGAGAATTCAATGCAAATGAAGCTAAGCTCTTTCTATTTAAATCCTTTTCCTTGACTCAGGAGGGAAGGGTTAGCAGATACAATGC